CCATCTTCATACAGGGTCCGTGCACAATGGGTTCCAATTACAGAGTTTGGTTTCCCTCGTATGCAATATTCTGGTGTCCATCATTCTTCGCAGGCTATCCCCACCTCGTGAATCACTACAACAAAAATAGGCTAGGTTCCGCTCTGGGCGCGGCTGCATCGATACAATCTTCACACTCCGCCACACCCTCTAGCTCCGCCATGTATATCAAAAGCAACGATTTTTGGCTTCCTGGATATCCGTGCTGTCTTCGAATCCACCCACAAGACTGCATTGTGCCACTGTCTGTTGAGGAACGGCGTCCCCGAGAAATTCGTTTCCGTACTGCCTGCTCTGTATAGCCTGACCTCGGGTTGAGTTGGGGCTTATTGCAAGCTCTCGCCTTCCTTTGTTGTCACCAGTGGAGTTCGACAAGGATACCCTATCCCATTTCTCTTCAATTTTGCCATTGTGGATGTCCTCAAAATTGCTCTAGAAGACTTGTTGAATGTTGGCCTTGAGCCACTTCCCAGGTGGATTTAAACTGCGCTGCTGATATCGTCTTGCTGGGTGACGGTTCGCAGGCCGTCCAACTTGCACTTAACCCCCTGGTGATTGAAGTGTCGAAGTATGTCATACGCTTTTCACCAAGTGCAGACCGCCTTTTCATGACTGGTAGATGTCTGTATCTCCTCTCACTCTCTGTGGCGACCCACTGGAGGTTGTGGAGAGTTTCGTCTGCCTAGGAAGTTCCATCACTGCTAGTGGGGATGTTGTAGATGAGCTTTTGATGCGTATCTCAAAAACTCGTCTTGTCTTCTTCAGACAGAGGCACTTGTGGCACCGTCATGATATCCGTCACTTCATCAGAGAGCGGGCCTGTTGTGCGACTGTTCGCGCTGTACTGCTGTACGGTTGCGAGAAGTGGCCTGTTCGAACTGTTGACCTGTACCAGCTGTCTGTCTTTGCGCACCGTTGCTTGCTGTCCATTGCCCGTGTGTAGTGGCTACACCACGTAATCAATGCGAAGGTAAACAGCGCATCTTTGGGAGAGAGCTACTCACTCCTGGAGATTGTCTCACTGCGCCGATGGCAGTGGCTTTGTCACGTCTTGCACATGCCCGCTCAACACTTTCCGCTTCGTGCGTTGTTCGCGGTTACTTGCTAAGGCTGGAGGAGGCGGCGCGGTGGACAACTTACGACCTGATGTAGCCGCATGAAAAAGCTGACGATGCATTTGACCTGGGTAGGTCGATCTCGACTCCGTAGTTGGGGTCCAAGTGTATCGCTGATTGGAGACCCTGGAGGTTATTGCCCAGGATCGACAACAGTGGCGGCCGTGCGTGTTGTGGTGATGCTTTCTGCTTCTCCTAATAAAATAAAATGACAAAAAAGCGCAAAAACGGTGAGTGGAAAATTGTACAAAAGAATTGTCGCCTGTTATTATCTTTGCTTAATCAAATACTTTTTCATATTCCGTCATGATTCCGATGGCACTATATCTGTACCACACATCGTGATTAAATATATATCCCACTTATGATGTTTAGCCGCCGGAGCATCTGCGCTGTGTCTTCCTGTGATTCAGCTACACGTTTGTGTCGTGTTATTGTCACAGCTGTGTAGTGCACCACTTGGTTACTCAGATGGTTCAATTCCATTTTCTCTGCTCTCTGTAACTATTATTTTCCGGCTCCAGTTGCTGTCCGAGGCTTAACTAAATTACACCTGTTTCTACATATTTTTATGTCACAGTTAGCAATAAGGTATAGCTGTAATGGTGCATTAACCCTATCTGTTACACTCGAATTAAACAGTGATTACCGCCTTCATTCCGACACGTTCTAACTGGTGGCGATCATATTCTATTATAATAGGCATTTATCATATGTACGCTTCCCGGTTATAATCCCTTATCATTTTTAATTTATTTCCATTATATTACGTCCACCACTGCACTTTGAAGAACACTAGACCATATTGATACATTCATGACTGTTTCCACTTTCATTGAACCGTGCGGCAAAAGTCCTACGTCGTCGTTTTCCTTTGTAAGGCTATCGTAATTACGCCCTTACCATAAGAAAATTGCAAGTTGCTTAGTCAGTTGAGGCGATAAGAAAGGCGTTAACCCATACATGCGACTTCACCAGGCGAACAGCAAAACTGAAAATGCAGGTGTCGGAGGTTGACTTAGCCCTCCTGGTGTAACGGATGATGCAAGCTGTATAACGCATTGCGCTCTTTGTACTATTCAACAGACCTTGAGTTTTTGCACGTGAAATGCCTAATCTGAATGAGTGTTCTAGGACCACCAACATTTTGGCTTGTGCGCCCTTCCGCTATCAGCGCACATGAACTGCATTGTGTTCATTTCCATTCAATTTTGTTAAACAACTACGATCCGGGCATCGAGGTGCTGTGAATGCAGTTGCCACGGCTCACGTCGCCAGAATACTAACGATAAGAAAACAAGTTTGAATGCAAATGGAACGCAAAGAGAATAGAATCAGGGAGCAGGGTAAATTGAAAATTAACGGCTACATGCAAGAAGCCGAACACAAGAACGCCACTTACTGTGCGACTGCGCCATGTCTGATACTGTCTCCTACCATTGGTGTATACCATCCCGAGGCCCCCATCCAGAAAGATGGCACACACCAGAGTAACAATTTTCTCACCCTATTTCTTCATGCTTCTATGCCTTGTCATGGGCTGGCCACCTTGCGGTTTCGCCCAACTTGGTGCATCCACGGCGTATAATATACGCAGAGGAAGCCGGTCAACGGGTAGACAGAGGACATGGCGTAGCCAACCTAAGCGATGATGATTCAGCAAACACTTGAGTGAAGCACCAAAAACCACCTGGTGAACCTCAGCATTGCTCACTCAGTGTTCCCACTAGCTGTGAGCGATACTCCGCAGGCGCCAGTAGGCAACTACGTCCAAGTGTTTAATGTCTTCACTGGGAGTTGGCCAGGTCTCTTATTCATACAGTAACACTGGCCTTGTCGCAGCGTTATACACCCTTCCTTTCACTGTCAGGCTGATATCCTGCCATCTCCATAGATGCTTGAGCCTCTAGAACACCACACGAGCCTTGCTTATATTTGAAGCAACTTCTTCAGCGATGTGACCACCAGAGGTGACACAAATGCCAAGTTAAATGAACCGATTCACCACTTCCAGTAGCCGTTCGGAAATAGCTAAAACCGGAGGTGTGTCGGCCCAGTCCTACAACACTGAAGACGCAGAGCACATGTCGAAGCGTGCAGCGCTATGCGTCAGTTTATTCAGTAGTGTTTGCATAGTCACTGCGTCAGATCCCAGAAGAGATATGTCGTCCGCATACTCCATATCTGTCAGTCGGTCGTACGGCAGAATCTCCACAACGGTAGAGTCTGAAGGAACTGAGTCATTCATGATTATTTCGCTCACAAAGTTGGAGACGAAAGGAGATATAGGACACTCATGGCGAACCCCACTTGTCATGGGGAACACGGGAGAGCGGTTCTCGTAGACGCTTACATGGACTCGGGAGTCACGGCAGAGTGACTTCAGAATGGAAAGGAGTTTAGCTAGCATGCCCCTCATGGATAACCAGTGCCACAAGCTGGTGCGGTCTGCAGAATCGAAGGTGGATTCAGGTCAAATAACTCCACCATAATCGGTCGCTTGTATGTGTGTCTGCTCTAACGCTTGTCAATTAGTAAATATGTAGTCGATACAACCACGACAAAGGCGGAAGCCAGCCTGGCTTTCAAGGACGAGTAAGTCATCGAAAAAGTTTGAAGAGAATAGAAGTAAGGCTAATGCCTAAGTGATTTTCGAACAAAGTGCGCTGATCCTTTTTGACAGTTGACAGTCACCAGTCCGAATATACTTCTTCCCAAATCGGGCTTATCGAGGAAGCCTCCATTCTACAAAGATTGAGGAACTTTGTCTGGCCCAGGAGCTTTGTTTCCTTTCAACACGCCTAGTTCATGTGGAATTTCTTTCAAGGTGAGAGGTGTGACATCAAATGTCCACATTGATTCAGGAGATTTGACAAGCGTCAATGTCACAGTAGGCCTGCTAAACTGCTCTTTAAAGTATTCCACCCAACGGACTAGTCGAAGATGCTGCGAATGGACCAGTCGTTCATCTTTCTTAGCTATTGTCTTACTAACTGATGACTCTCCGTCTCGTGTTCCGGATGTGCTCGAATAACACTCGACTCTTTCAAATAACACTGGCTTTCTGCATCTCACGAGTCTTTGTCACCCCCTAACGTTCCCGATCGACTGGAAGACTTCTTGTCAGACGTCATTTCATGGAGTTACGGACGTGCTTAAACTCAATGCCCATTGGGACTTGTTTACGTTCTTCGATCAAACTGATGGATGCTCCAAATTCGTTCACAGTTACGAAGTCTCAGGTCAGGTGCACAGCAAGCGTCAAAGACATTATTCATGGCACACTTGAGACGATCCCAGTCAGCATTCGGATCACCAACTTCATTCATCACTGACATGTGGTGGACCAGTTCGTTATGATATTGATAAAATGCAGATTGCCAATTCAAGTTACAAGTAAGGTTAGAAGTTTGGCGCTTCTTGGAAGCAGGAGAAGTGAGCGCCGGGCGTACGCGCACCAGTGCGTAATCAACATCAGGCAAGTGCTCCAACTTGACCGACAGTCTGACAACTATTTTCATGGCCTGCGTACTTGAAGGACGACAAGTTATATTTATAGCTCACTCAAATAATGATCTAATGTCTTCAAGCAATGCTGTACTTTGACCACACGGTCCTGTTTTGAGGAATTTCAAACGCAAAATCTTTGCGTTTGTGGAGCCTACGGCGCACAAATGCATATGCCTTGACTTTTCTGCGGGGTAAGAACGTGGACCTGTGCAAAGATGGTGAGCTGTGTTTCCGTGCTACTTCGTCTAGGTTTCCCCATAGGATTGAAGTGATATCATTTCCTGTCTTGATGGCCTCTTTTTTACTTGCGACCTTACCTGTTTTTCGGTTCTCTAGAAACTCAGCCGACACAAAAGCAAGACCCAGGATTCTTCTGAAAGATCCTTATCAAGCAGTCAGATAAGCTCACTCCACCCGCTATCGGTGGTCCTGACTCTGACCCATCCCACAGAGCAACATGGTACGTTAACTTCGATTGCATTCACTCTGGTTTGTTCAGTTGTTTCGTTCATATATTTCTGTCACAACCATTTTACATTGTTTTCTGCGACGAACGGTTTTCCGTTTATGACGGTGTGCAACTTCTCATTTGTGCCTGTTTTCTACTAACTCCAATTTAGCTTTTCTTGATAGCCAGTAGTGATCATGGCACTAAGCATTGCAGGTAATCTTTCGTAGGATACTGTTAAGGGCTTAGATTGATTACTAAAATGTAGGCATCAATGTGTGGAATTTGATGAGACATGGCCACTTATTCCGATGGACGTGCGCCAAAAAGTACTGGATATTGAAAACTGCAAGGAAGCAGTAAAAGCTGATATCTGTGTAGCTCCCTCTAAAATCCCTCAGCCATAATGACCTAATACGTTGGAGAGCCTTCACAATATTTCGTGTCGGCAAAGTGTTTGTCCAGGATTTTTATATTACGACACCGACTTTGCTTCGACAACGTGTATCGGCATGCTTTTCCGTATATTCATTACTCTCTGTTAGATGCAGAGTTTGTGATCGACCCGCCTCAAATCCGTTACTACAAGTTTTTTACCTGTAGTGTGTGCATATGGGGCATCGGCTTCAAGATGGGGTGGTCGCCAAGGTGTACTATCCGTTGCGTCGTGATGTGGTCAACCCGCAACCGACTATAACACAAGTTGTAAAGTCCTTATCTCGCACATCACGTAAAGTGGGGAATAGCCTGGTGGCCAGACGCTACCCACTCAATCCGATTAACCTCGCCCAGATTTAGAAGACTTCATATTCTATCGTCTTGAATGCCCTGGCTTGCGCCCTTGATTGCCTTCGATAAATTTGGTTTTTCAACCACGCTAGCTTCTATTCTTCCCCCCAGATGCAAGCCCGCACGAAAGTATGCCACTTGGCAGAACGACGTCACTAAGCTTTTTTCTCTGTGAAGTCAATCCTGTACCACCCTCCGGATTTACCACACATAGACTGCATCTCATGGTCAATGGTCCTAACGAATCTACTCATTCTCGGTTGATTTCGCTTCTTGTGTTGTGTCGACGATTCTGCAACCAAATCTTTCATTTTATCCTCCACTAACTGATCAATCTTATTTCCACCATGAGACTTCGCGCCGGTCTTGCTTGAAACCCGCCTAATCGAGTATTTGGCAGTCAGCGGTGACAGATGCACAGTGATTTTGACGATTTAGTCAACTTCCCAGTTTTTGCCTATTAGTTTAGTTCAGTTCGGTTGGTCGACTACGGTCCATGTTTCATTTTGTGTTGGATCCAACGGCATTAACTCACGTCGTCCCAAAGCTACCTGACGTTTGTAGCAAATCATGAGGAGGCGCGATCATCCCTGAATAAACTCTGGAGTCATCTTATGCTTCGGCATACACTTCATACATTCGTATTGCAAATGCTACTTCAAGACCACCATCCAGTTGTTCAGCCGTTGAAATTCGGTGTCGTGGGACCGGACGTAGTTTACTAATACTTCCGTATTGGCACTCGCAGCGAGTAACACCCGACTGCCAAAGCGATGTTCGTGTGTCTGCCTGCTGTGTGCTAGCAGGCCCTTTGGTTCAGAAACCGTTTTCCATGGTTTGCTGAATTTAACTCTAGCATGGCAGCGGTAGATGGATCCTCTTAAACTGTTGGATAGATCTCGACAAACACCGTTGATGGCATATATTTTAGTCAATTTCCTTCCCATTTGTGATGAATTACAGAACTTTTTGTGTATCTTGTGCAGAACGTCCCGAACATTTTAAAATTTTCTGGATAGCATCATCTTCCTGGTTCTAATCCTGTCCTCTTTATTTTTATCTATTTTCGCAAACCGTTTCTTTCGACCAGTTTTATCCATCTCCATATTCTCCTTCCTATGACAAAGTGTCCCTCTACTGATGACCTCTACGCTTGCTACCACAATTCTCCTCGACTTGATCACAACTTGTATAGCGGATACAGTTGGTAGATTGGAGGGTCATCTTGAAACATGTGAATGATTGCGACACGCCATGTGTACTTTCCTTCACGCACGGTACCACTATTTTTCCGATATTATATGCCTACTTGTGAGTAGTTGAAATTCAATAAACTACTTTGCCACTTTTATTCCGATGCATCGCATTCTTTCCTCAATCCTCATCTTTTGCTGACTAGCAGCTCTTCCGAGCAGCTTCTCGTGACTTTTTAAGCTGTCGGTTGTTCTGCGTTGTTTCGCCTTTCAATTTTCGCTTCCAATTATGGCTGTACGGACTAGTTCCATTGTCTTCCTGCCGATTTCTTTCATTAGTTTATTCGCGCTCCTCTATCCTTCTTCCACGGTATGAGCTCTTCAACCTAAACTGCTATTTGTTGCTTACCCACCTATCTCACGTCTGGTTTATATAGTATTTCTCCTTTTCCACTCTTACGGCTTCATCCATATCGCCTTCGTCGAACTCCCACGAAGATACTGTGTCTATGGACTGTCACACCGGATTCATTATTGCACCAGTCCTTAAACAACATACTGGGTATCACCAATATACTGCCGTCTCTCAGATAAAAGACGCTCCAAATAATGCCTGTGCTGTTTCCCATCGTCGTTTTCATTTGTCAGTAAAGCATCTGTATATAATACAGATGCATTGCGATTGATTTATCCAGTCCGACATTGTGCCGAAACCTTGCCTACAGTCACTCTTTACTGATTTCGATTGACCTATGTGGAATCTCACATATACAGCTGCTTACTAGAAAACTTTGGGAGAAGCAGCCTCCGCTCCGCTGGGAGTAACTCCATTATTGCGGCTATTGCAATTAATGTATTTTGCATCACTGGGAACAAAATTAGGCTGCTCGACCGTTAGAATCAGAATCCGGTATCCACAATTAAGTAGCACTCATCTACAGCTGATATCAGCCCCAAAGAGGTGAAAAGTTAATGCGAGCATTATCTTCCGCCTAATATGATTTGAGTTCCTAGCATTATTTGGTATAAAATGGAATGATGCTTTGGCCTGCGGTTATTGGAGTGTCACTTCGCAAAGCGTGTCGCACCACTGCATACTGTGGTGAGCATTTCTGACCTGTCGTCCCCGTCCCATAGCCTTACGTTGCACTTAGATGTGCAGCTTGTACCCATGCATGCGCTTTTACAGTTATGCAAAATCCAATGCATGCCGCTTCACCCACGTGACATGATTCCTCTTATTGATTGCTCATCGGGCGTCCCAACCCATGGCCATTATTGTGACAGCCGTAACGCGTAAGACCTATCGTACTCTGCTCAGTGTAGGTTCTTCCTTAGAATGTTAAACGGTTTTGAGGAAATTAGTATTGTGAATTCGTAACTGGGTGGTACGGTTATAAACACACGGCCGACTCAAATAAACTCGTGTGTGCGTCGCTCCAGTATGTGATGAAGAAATTCGAGTGGGTTTGTCGCCGGATTTCAGACTACATTAACACGGCCCTGGAAAAGGAAGTGAAACTTATCTAACTCTAACCGTAGTACTATACTGCAGATCAGAGCCAGTGGATTGCTCGCAGATGGGTTAAAAGTTTTGTTGGGAAGCTCAACACGCAGACACACGCGCAGTCCGACTGTTGCGGTGTTGTAGCATACGCGCCATATCGGCTGCAATTTTTGTTTGGGTTTAGTAAATGGAATCGGAAGCAGCGTGTTGATGAGGATCACATGTACAGCTAACATCTTCCTTTAGATATTGGCCCCACATGGGTCACGTTGCTGGCTTACCAATCCGGCTTAGCTCAGGCACTCGCGACGGCATGTGTGCTGCAGCACCGCGCGCTTAATGTCGATCTGCCAGACTATACCGGCGCCTATCGCTTCCGTACACGGCGTTTCTTTTCCGTATGCAATAATGCTTTCTCTTACTCCTTGGCAACGGCCTTCTTGATAAGCTCACGCCATTGGTGCCGGTCAACTGTCTTCGATTCCAAACGTCCGAAACCAACGTTACTTCGCGATCATGTTCTGCTAAGCTAACTTTAATTTTGCCATGTGCCGCTTCCCAGCAGCATATAGCAGTTGCTCGCGTATCCTCATGAAATCCATGCGACTGATATGCCTGACCCACCTCAGATGCTTCAGCAAGAGTATGCAGTCCATTGCACACATGCCACTGCGGCACTGCACTTCCCTGTCTATAGCTCGTTCATTCCAGCGGATTCGCAGAATGCAACGCATGCACTGCCGATGGAGGTGATTCAGATAACGGACGTCCTTCCGATGCAGCCTCCATGTTACGCTTCCGTATGGAAGAACGGACAGCACGGTCGACCGGTAAACATTCACCAACAGAAAGCTGAGGATTATTCCACAGACGGTATTCCAGTTTGTCAAATAACAAAGCCGCTTTCGATATGTGAATGTGCAGCCCGCTCGTCATCTGTAGGTCCATGGATATTATGCACCCAAGATAGCAAATTTCGATGCTGTTTCGAACATGTCATCGTCAACCTGGATTTGATGTAGGCCCATGGACTCCGTTCGTGGCGAACGCTTGTTAATAGTGAGTTCGAACTTGGCCGCTGTCGAAGTGAGAGCCGAATTCATGCGCTGCAATTCATCCGTGCTGTGCGCAAACAACGCACAGTCATCGGCAAACAGCGTGCTTCAGACGTTTATCTCACACTAGAGTTCTCGCCTGGGAAAGACGAATTTTTCATTACCAACCATCAATACGGTGCTCTACACGGACACAGTTATCACAAACAGCATCAAGTTACAAACTTTATTGTATGAAGGTAAATGTTAAACAGGACAAGGGCTAAGACACAGCCTTGCTTCACATAAGACACATCAGTACCGTCATCGGAGGTTTGTTCACTCATCTGCACCGTCGCCCCTATACCACTGTGAAGAGATACAACTAAATATGCAAACTTACTCGGACGACCAAACTTGCCCAACACCAGCCACCGTGTCAGATGTCTTAATGAAATCAACAAACAGCTAGTACAATTACAGTTGTTG